ATCCCCTGGCCTGTCCTTGTGACCCAGTACCTGGGCCAACACTTGGAGTATGAGAGGGAGATTATGGGCAAGCTTCACAAGTGCCCAAAGGTAAGAGAAGGTGAATGAGTCAGAGTGTATGGTTTTACCAAGGATTGGGAGGAGGGGCAAAGATGAAATAAAGGGAGTTCTGTCCTGGATCGGTGCTACCCCTGTCTTTACCGAACAGGTGCTGAGTAAAGTAAAATTAAAGAGGGTTTCGTCCTTGAAAAGTTCCTTAAGGAGGGAGTACTTTCAATCAAAAAATATTGTTATTGGTGGGGTGCGACCAACTCTTTACAGTGCCCTAGGTTTGAGGGGGAGTGATGACAAACATCATTTTATATGCATCTACGACATCATGGACATTGGTTGGAATCTGTTCCTGAAGAGGGGGGTGTGTGTGTGTATTGTGTTTTTACAGACGTGTGTCAATCAGATATGATTATTTACGTCTGGGGTCCGACTTCTAAACGTCACCATCTGAAAGACGTGACTGAGTTTCGAACCTGCGTCCTCGGCTGAATCAGTTTGTAACTTCCACTGTTAGCTGGATTACAGGTGCACGACACAACGCCTAAATAGGGGGGGGGGGGCTCTACCTTTTGGGGGATTTTTACACCCAGAATTTGTTTGTATCTGCTTATTAAAAAATCAGGTAAAATTTTCTTTTCTTTTCGTTTTGATACAGACGGATTCCTTCACACTTGGACAGGAGTTTGTCTGGAACTATCCAGAGAGTCTTGATGATCTCAACGGCATGCAACGATCTACAGACGACCAACGACCAAAAACACCTCAACGTTCGTATCACAATGACTTTAAAGCAACGCCGTGTGAGGATAATAGCAAGAGTTCCGCCCAGGAGTCCATTTTGAGTGCAATAGATAATAGGCCGATGGGTAAGCTGGACTTGCAAGAAGCCGTTGGGATTTCATTAAATGGCCCATCGAACGGACTGCAAGCCAAGCCTGGTATAGATAGATTTTGCAGAGACGATGAAAGAGTACACCCTACACATGACTCAGAGACACATAGCCACAGCATGCAAAGCACCACCTGTAATGGATCATCCATACCAGATAGCAAACTGCATGCTCATCGTACAAATGTAGATGCAGATACCAACAAAGAATCAACTTCAGATAGGAAAGACAAAGAAAGCCATTTTCGGTTTTCCACAAATAGTGATCATACAGCGAAGACCACAGTATCGGAGGAGAGCAGTACTGCAGGTACAAAGAAGAAGAAAAGAACGAAAATCACAGGTAAGCACCTCATGAATGCAAATAGTGGGGGTATTAATGTAACCATTGAATTATTGGCTTACTTTGGCAAAGTTGCTGTGACAGAATTATTGCAAGAGTAAAAACATTGGGTCTGAAAATTCTCCTGCTGCAGAATACTGTTTGAAATGTTACCCACATATGGTTTGAATTGATGTGATGTTGCAGATTTGAAAGCAAGCTTTTTTTCGGCATATTTGAGGACCTTAGATGAGACAAAATATGAAATAAAGTGACATTCTTATGTCAGTTCATGTTCACAATTCCATACCTTGGACTTTCAAGAAAGCTGTGTTAATTAATCACTCACTCTTTTTGGCAATTGGTAAAGTTCATAGCTGCTTAAAGGGGAGGGAGGTCCACCGGGCACCCTGATATTAAGTTCGTTTTAATAGAAGCAGAAAAATGAGAGGAACATGTCAGTTAAAGTTTGAGCAAAATCTCCTTTTTTTAAAATTTGTTAATTTTGAAGTTGCGATCAATCAAACACAAATTGGCTACTCTGTGATATATCTTGCTAAGTTCACTCCCGACCCCCAAATCCGTGAACGGAGGGATACCATGCATCTTCCAAAAATGTCCGGTAAAGGGGTACTTTTCACGCACCAAAGTCCGGCTCGTAGTACACAAAAATCCGGCCCGTATTGACTTTACACACCAGACTTAGGGGGGTGTTTTCAAAAGGAGGCAACATGCATATGCGTATCCTAAAGAACACTGAGTGGGGGGGGGGGGGCAGGGGCGGGGTTTCCTCCCCTTTTCCCTGTACTAAATAATTCAAACATTTCTATTTTGCCTAAAGAAAATGTTCTATCATACACACACCCTAACTATAGTTATTGCATATGTGTTTCTGCACGACCCCTGTACGAAACGAAACTATTCCGTCATTAAGAACTAAGAAAATGAAAGGTTATGACATTTTTGTACAGACCAAATTGGAGAGGACTTCGCAATATATGTCAGTGTCTTGCCAATTTATGTTTGATTGATGGCAACTTCAAGAACTTATAACTTTCACAAATCCGTTTCTCTCATATTTTTGCTTCTATTAAAACCAAATTAATATCAGGGTGGACCTCCCCTTTAAATGGTTTTCTGTAAATGCTATCAGCTATACAGTGCATTTATTAGAACCACTTCAGAGAATTTTTTTGAGGAGAAATCTACACTCTTTGCTTTTCAATATACCGGTATGTGTACGTTCACAGGGTCATGCATCGATCACCATGCACCATTTTCCAGAGGGATACGTCTTTGGAAAGCATAGAGATTTTCAGACTACCAACCTGAAACATTTACCCCCCCCCCCCATTGGACCACTACCCTCCACCCTCAGGGACACTTGATACTTCACAATGAGCCCCCCTCCCCGTTCCCCTCCCCCTTCCTAGGGTTATTGTTTCAATAAAGAGAGTTGATACCCACAAATAATGCGTGCCATTAATCTTTGTCTTCATTTCAGATATGGAGAACTACCAGGAGCTGAAGAAGGAAGCCTTGGAGTTTATGCGAGGGGTGATGGATGTGACTACCTATGTGGGCAACTTCTCAACCCCTGTAGATTCCAGCTTGGTGATCGTCGTGAGCGCGTTGAAGGACGGCTACATCCCAAGGAAGGGGGTCCCTCCACTAGATGACATCTGGCCAGGAGTCGAGGTGAGTCTGTCATTTTTCTTGTCCCTCTTTCAATGATAAGTGAACTATCTGTGATACACTTCTTTTTTTATCTCGATTCGAATTTAAAGCCCCTCTGCACTAGTTTGGCATGGAGGGATTAGACCTCCCTGCAAGTTCACTGGCAGGTGGTCTCATCAAATCAGCTCTCAATTAACGAAAAAGGGCATCAACGGTTACCGCTTAGGCATTGTTGGCTGTATAGAGGGTGCAAGTAGCTATAAGTAGTGCAGTGGGGCTTTAAAAGAAAAAAAATCTCCCAACAATGGTTACCAACATGCTGAATGTCAATAAAATTAATTTTCTCATTTGCAATATTCCTTGTTTGCTGATGAATCAGAAATCATGTAGTCATGTATTGTATAGAGCATTATGAACTAATCCTCTTTTAAAATCTTTGTTGCTCTTACAGGTTCGATACATTGAGGGAGGACACATTGCAGCCTTCCTCTTCAAGCAGTCAGAATTCAGGTAATTTTCTGAACCAGTTAAAATGAAGAATGGGATTGAGATGTGTTAAACCCTCCAAAACAAGCTGTAAATTATACAGGGGAAATTGACCAATTGATTTTCCTCATATCAGAATGTGCAAAAAAAATGCACATACCGAGTTGTTTCTGCTCTTATCGAGGCTATTTAAGCATCAATGAATGCAATTTTTAATTTGTTAACGAAATGACAAATCTGCATTTGATGTATTTTATTCAAGAAATTATCGGTGAACAGTTGCTTCCTCTCAATCCCGCAATGATTGTTCTTCGGGTTGGCAAAATAATAGGCTCAATGAGGTCGTAGAGGTCAGCATAATAATTGACGAGGGGGTATACCATGATAAATCGAATGTCCAATCACCTCCTCTCTTTCTCATATAGCCAGCGTTTAGGCCCAACATCATTCACTGTGCTTGCACAGTTTGTGTGGAACGATTTCGGGGCAAGAGAAAGTAATGCTCCTATGAACTGTTTTAGGCATGTAGAGCAGTGAAACTGCTCGGTTTAACAGGAACGATTAACAATGTTTTACTTTTTGTAGGGCGCGGGATTCAGCTTGTAATAGCTGAATCTCGTTTTAAGAAGCTCATACGGCCATAGAATTACAAGTAAATTAGATTTGGGACATGATGATATCCTTGTTATAAGCGTTACCTCATTATATCGAGTATACCAAGCATGCAGTTTTTACCTGGGCCTATCCTTACATCCTTGTCTAAAAAAGGCTCTAGTATTCTACAAATTATTGCATAATTGATCTTGAATGATTATTTGCTTCATGCGAAACTGTCCTGTTTAGCTTTCTGTGTATTTGGCAAACTTCCTTTACACTTTTCTCCTTCATGCAGGAAAGCCATAAACGATGCCTTCAACAAGTACACAATCAAGTATGAGAGCGTACCCACGTCAGAGAGCAAAACGGACATAAAGTCATGACAGGAAAAGAACTAAATAGGAAAGATTTGGATAAAGTCAATTCCAAGCATTATGGAATGACATTTTCAGAATACGGAATATTCAATATTATGTGAAAGTATATCTTATGTTCATAGAAGTTTTAATTTTAAGAACCCGCATGATCTGATTCTTTTTATTTGATAAAGAGAATGTATATACATATATCGGGTACCTTGTACCTTGTGTTCGTCTCTTCCGAAAGGTCCGAGAGTATAGAGTATAGATTTGTGTATTTCAGGGGTTATGCTATTTGATTTGGTTTTGGGGTTGCAGGTGGATGTATACACACTAATTGAAACAATAGTGCATGGCCATTTTGTGAACTAAATTCAACTTTTCTTGTGTATGTTTTTTTCTGAAATCGTGCATGTTCATTTCCCTGTGCAGATGTCAAATAAAAATCATGATTTCAGCAAATTTTATTCTTTTAATCTACCTACCACCTGAGGGACTTGAAGGTCCACTCGTTTAAACATTTATTCCTATTTGTGTATATATCATATCAATAAATGTTAAAACGGCTGGACACGCTTGATTGTATTGTACAAGAAATGAAAATTACAGCATCAAGTTCTTTCTGAATATTGTTTTATTTTTCATAGTAATGTATTCAAAATTTCTGACTGCGTTTTAGAAACCTCTGCAGTAGTTTGGCCAGGTGGTTATCACATCAACTCTGAATGACATAAGAAATGGGGGACAGCTTAATCATTGTTGGCTATATAAAGGGCGCAAGTACTGAAGTCCCACTTTAATTATATCATTCACCTGATAAGAATAATAGTATTTCAATAGACCGAAATGAATACATTCATTGTTGCCAGGTAGATCAAACATTATGGAGTGACCTACCTAGCAACACTTAATATATGCAGTTTGCATTCCGACTATCAAAATACTATTATTCTAACCAGGTGACTTAATAATTTGTATTGAGGCACTTCACAAAGACTTATGGCTTATTGGGTTAAATGACTTTAACTCATTGGCAAAAAGGTTGTCACCCCTATTCGCCCGAAGATCAAAAGACATGATTGAGGGCGTGTTTACATAATCCTGTCAATAATTTTTGGCTGCTTGTAACCAACACAGTTTTAATGAAACGATCAATTGACATAAACTTAATCAGGTAAAAATATTTTCTTTTATACTTGACCACTTTCCGATTTGTACAGCCATAGTTTTCAGGGGTTCTGTGGGCCAAACCTGACAGATACAATGTTATTTTGAAGGGTTTAATCTTACAGGATAGTCTTCTGGTCAAATCTTGAGGGAAATTCCAAGTTTTTTTTCTTACACATTGCCATTGTTCATCTATTATTTTTAACAAAAGTTGGATCTCCATACAAAATTAGTTTTAGTTTTATTCTGAAAAACAAGATGTGTATTACTCATCACAATGAGATGTCTCTGACTCAATTAAAAGAGAGGAATGCTACCTTTGATCAATGTAATAGCTTACTCTAAATGAGACTAGTAGCAAGAATCGTAAATAAATCAAAATTACTAAACAAAATACTAATTTCGGTTTCGTAATATTTAAACCTGAAGGGATTTCACATTTCAATAAATCTTTCCAAAGTTTGTAGTTTCCTTCCTACCATGCGAGTTGCCAGTTTGATTAAAACAGTGATGTCAGACGGTATACACATGGTGTTACATAAGGAACGAAACTGTCCAAGCAAACTGGCAGACAATTGAATGCATTACCGAAATGATCAAAATTGCTACAAATTTAACTGGTGATTAGGTATCTCTCACAGCTTGTACAACAATTTATATCACTATTCTAATTAAAATGGCAACAAAGGAAAGTACAAACTTTGGAAAGTTAATTTCAAGACATTTTTAAACATGATACTCTAAATATTACCAGCTTAGGGTTCGTTGAATTTTGTTTTCCTTACATAAAGCCCCGAAGAAAAAAATATGGCAAAAAACATGAAATGAAATTCTACATCTTCTCCACAGGGTGTAGTCCCAGAATATCAAAGCACTTGGCCATGATTGCCGCGGTAGCTTCACATAGCAGCAGGCGACCTGTGTCAACACTCTCGATTTCTCCTGCAATTATAATGGGAAAGAATGTTTATTGCTAATAATAAGAATTTGATTGAGAACAATTCAAGAGTTTGTCCAGTTTTGTCCTTTCTATTTTTCATAGTGATTGTGTACTTGTTCTCCAGAGTACATAAACTGAAGCTGAAAATTATTTATCTATTCTAGATACCGTAATGGTTATTATTAGTACTTTTACGCACATGGTAGAAGCAAATTCCATGACCCGTTATTAACTTTTCACATGACCAGGGGGTGTTTCACAAAGAAATTTACTCTAAATTGGACTCATTAAAGGAGAGCCACTTGTTAGCCTTAAAAGACAATATATTCAAAAGCAGAAAATCAATTATTTTTGACTTTTCATAAATTCCACATCAAGAACATACGATTGATTTAAATTAACTTTTACAGAATATTTTCAAAGACGCTAGCGGCTTTCCATAATTGTTAAGTCCAACTTAGAGATAAGTTCCACTTAGGATCTTTGTGAAACGCCCCCAGATGAGTACCATTTTGGTATGGGTTGCAGCATGTGAGTTGTAAACTACTACCTCATAACACAGTATTCTCACTTGCTTTCGGGACAATTGCTCCGCATTTCCTACACTATACCCAACCCTAAACCCTGGTCAGCATTCCTACCTGTCTGTTTATTCTTCACGATGCAATAGCAGACTTCATAGAACTCTGTGAACGTGTTGGCCACCTCGTACAGGTAATCACAGATGCCATGGATGAAGAGGTCGTCAAGCGTACGTGAGATGATCTCAGGGAACCTTGCAAGGCACTTGGCTAGCTTCCATTCCTTGGGGTGCTCGACGGGGATGGACGTGGTCTTGGCAGCCTCCTTCAGGGTCTCGGCCAGCACCTCGGCTTTCCTGGAGATCGACCTGTAGATTGGAAGCAAAACAAGCTTTTAACAAAAATACTATACAAGAACCATACATGGGTCGCCAGGAAAACCTTTCATGACAACTTTCATACAACTACAACATTCATTATTAATATTATTATGTTCAAAATAAACATGGTATAAACAAAAGAATCATACATTGCATCAGGAGGCCTACACACGTAATATTAAAGAGATAAGTAAGGAGAGATAAATGTACAAGGAGAGAGAGAGGGGGATAGAATGTTGTCAATACTAAATACAAGGGTAAAGATAAAAGAGCTGAGAGAGAGAAAAACTAGAGAGAAAAAGATGGGGCAATTTTTCAACAAATGGCACAGTTTGCCAATGCAGGAGAATGAGGGGAGTAAATGAACGGGTGTGCCAGAAAATTGTCGCGACTTAATTTCACGAACTATATGCAAACTTGGAGCAATGATTTTCATTTCATTGCGTGCCACTTCACTGCATATCACAAAACTGGGACAAAAATTCATCCAAGCATGAGAAAAATATTTTATCTGCTGAGGGCCTGTAATGTCACTTTAATAAAGATGATTTCAACCAACAAACTCACCTGATCCTGGTGTAAGCATAGAGAAGATAGACGGCCGTATTCCCCTTGTCTTCCAACATCTAAGCACAAAATGAACAAAATATAAACATCTCAATAAACCTGTGTTTTCAAATTTATGGATTTTGAATATTCATATGGATAGCATTTTTATGGAGGAAATCTACTTTGCACTAGGACTGTCGCTACATGAGACAACATTGTGACTAAATTTTGGCACTCTTGTTCAAGAAATATGCAGTATATACAGCAGTGAATGAGTACATTACACAAATCTTCAAAGCAATTGGTATTGATAACCTGCACTTATCCAACCCATTTCTAGCATTTGAATAAAGGGAACACAATGTAAACTGAGATTAGGATTGTGTCAAAGGATGTCGGTGCTGTGGCAGGAACTTGAACCCCAAACATCATGATTCAGTCCAGTGACTTAACCACTAGACCACAACATGTATTTGCTTAAAGTTGCCTAGTACAGTCAAACCTGTCTATAGCGACCGCCCAAGAGAAACACAAAAAGTGGTCTTTGGAGACAGGTTCCTTTATTACATGTTTCAAGGGAAACAAAAAAATGTGGTTTTTGTAGAAAGGTGGGCTTTATAGACAGGTGGTCACTAAAGCAGGTTTAATTTAAGATTGGGCAGTTTCTGAAAGTTTTCATTCTTCAGAAGACTGGTTTTCCTTCATTTTGAAAATAAAAATCTGAAAGGTTGCCAATTTGCTTTACCTTGTCGAATGAGAAGATGTAGTCGTTGGTCCTACGATGGCTGAGGTCAGCGTACTTGATGCATCCATAAGCTACAGACTCCTGGGCTGCCTTGAGTTCTTCAGCCGTCAAGACCTGAGAATATTGGTATAGCTTATGGTTACTGCAATTCTCGTCGGGTTACTTCAGTTTTTACCATCCTAGGTGCTAAAGCATGGTGGACCAAACAAAAATGTGCAAAGAGCAAATCCCCCCCCCCCCCCCTCTCAAAAAGGGAAATTGATATGTGAATAAATACCTTCAACCTACATATTTGTTTTGTCTTGTCCTCCCAAAACACCTCTATGGATTTACGAACTGGCTTATTGCTTTGAATCCTCCATGTAAAGACCATTCAAGGAAGATAATAATAATAATAATAATAATAATAATAATAGTGGCTACTTGTATGGCGCACAGGTCCACCTTTCGGTGCTCATGAGGAAAGTGGCATTATAGGCAAGGGGTCTTAATATGCAGGTTCTACCAACTCATTTCAATGAGAACCTCTGCACACAAGGGCTACAAACATGTGGTCTTTCTATACAGGTGGTCGCTAAAGCAAGATGAGGAAAGTGGCATTATAGATAAGGGGTCTTAAAGGTAAAGACCAGTTTTGAAAACGTCCCCCTCTCAAAAAATGAAATGGAAGCTCTTATTACCAATCATGTGAAAGAATATGTTTTGACCAATACATGATACAAATTTTGCCAGGAAACCGCCTACTAATTGATATATTTGGTAAGTACACACCAATACTTATATATGCTACATGTAGATTATCAACCTTTTCTGATCGATTCCACAACGTTGTTTAAACAATGCAATCGCATGACCAGAAATGGTCTTTATCTTTAATATGCAGGTTCTCATTGCAATGAGAACCTACGCCTGAGGGCTACAAAACATGTGGTCTTTCTATGCAAGTGGTCCCTAAAGCATGTTTGACTTTACCTTATCTCTACCCTTCTCCTTGAGTGTTTCCAATGATCGCCTCAATCCTTCATCCAGGAGCGATACCAGTTTAACTACATCTCCAGAGCGGGTCTTGAACTTCTTCCTGAAATTGAAGGAAAAAATTGCATTTTTTTTTGTAAACACTTTCAAATCTTTTGTATGTGAAAATGAATTGAATTGAATTTTAATTGTGGTTGCTGAAAAGTTCAGTGTAAGAAAAAGACAAGGTGAAAAAGTCCTATCAGGTATGATTATGGAGTCAGTAACCCAATCAGCGACTGGAGGAGGCCTAGAGAGTGCCGGATCGGCTGCACGTGGCGATGCCGATGGGGCCCATTTTTTCGGCTTAATGTTAATTCCAACGTGAAAGATGAAAAGACGAGACAACAGATTATCGAATTGCCAGTGGAAAAGCGTGTTAAAACACCGGGGAGTGGTCGCTTAACTCCGAAATCAAAAGTAAGTACCGGTAGACCCAATGCTAAACATACTAGTATATATAATAGATTGATTGATTTTCATTCCCCAAGCCTGCAATATACAACAAATTACAATAGGTTATACCAAAATAACAGATCAAATCAGCTTGAATAGTACTCATATTTAATATGTTGTTCATGTCGACATAGATTTTTTGCTGAAAGTGTATTTGATTTGTTTTTGTATAATTTTTGAAAATGTTACGTACATGTACATGTAGATTATTATAATTTTTATTTTTCATAGTTTTTGTATCGATTGTTGTGATTATAGGCAGTTTTATTTAGTTTGGCTTAAATAGTATTATATTTTGAGGATTTTATTTTGTTCTTTCATTTCCAACAAAGAGTCTACAGTTGATTATTGTCAAGAATTGGGACTTATAGGTAGAGAAGCGTCTTGCCCAAATTGTAAAACTAAATTTTTTAAAATCTACAGCGTGAAGCGCGCCGGAAGATCTCGCGCAGAGCACAGGTTTCAGTGCAATAGGAAGACTTGTAAGCAGAAATCCAAAAACCAAATATCAAGTCGCAAAGATACTTGGTTTGGAAACAGTAATTTGTCTCTTCGCAAAAGTTTGTTATTAGTGTACGGTTTTATTCATCAAATGCCATATAAACAAACTGTATGAAACAAGTATTTCATCAGCGGATAGTGACTCTGATAATAGCAACGTTTTGACAACATCTAAGGAGACCATAGCGGATTATTTTTCATACTGTAGTGAAGTCCGTCGGTGGTCGCTGGAGACAAAACTGCACACTAACCAACTAACCAATAGACGAATCTAAATTCGGCAAAACCAAATACAATCGCGGGAGATTTGTCGAAGGACAGTGGGTGTTGGGGGCATATGCCGTGAAACCCGACAAACTTTTCTTGTCGCATTGCCAAATAACAAGCGAGATAGGGCCACACTGGAACCGATTATACTTCAGCACATCAAACCAGGCACAACAGTAATTAGTGATTGTTGGAAAGCTCGGAGCAGTAGGTTTCCAGCATCTCACTATTAACCACAGCATCAACTTTGTAGATCCTGTCACCGGAGCTCACACTAATAACATTAAAAATTTGTGGTGGTGGCAGATTAAACGGCAAATGAGTGAGACGCACACACGACACATAAACTTAACAAGCAACCTATTTTATATACTATATTATTAATAGTTATATATTTTTTTCTTCAATTTCGTGGTGGGGGGGGGGGTGCAAAAGGAACTCTTACCCAAATGGAAAATACAAAAGCATCTTTTTAATAGAGTAATATAGTCTTACTTGTCCTCTCCCAAGACTACACCAAAGCTGACATGCTCTATCCTGACGTTGTTGGGATCATACCATCCAAGCTTGCGACATCCACTGAAGATGGCATCAAAATGAGTTGCCTGTAGTCATACAAAGGAAATTTGGAGTAGGAAATGAGTCATTCATGTAATAACATTCATATAATAACATAATTCATGTGCTAACATTGATATAACAGCATTTGTAAGCATTAATATAAAGTGTTAAATATATGAAGGTGTTACTATTATCAAACAAAGTTATGATTACTTCAACAAGAAAGCTACTGCATCCTTCTCAATAAAAGACATACGGTAGTAGTTTGTCATTCAAAGTAACCTTTGGCAGAGGCTATAAGATTGTATTTTCAGGAAGCACTGGTTGGTCCAGTGGCAGTAGTAAGAAATAGATGGTTAAACTCCGATCAGACTCTGGTTTTCATATTGTAAAGTTGAAGGATATCAAATGGATTTGGAGTTTTATTACATGTCTTAGAATACTATTACTAAACCAATGATTTTTTTTGTTGAATATTTACAGCATTGAATGCTGTAAATATTCAACAACAAAAATTGACATCCTACATCTTAAGAAAGTAAAATCCTCAGTCTGATACGGGTTTAAATTTCAGAGTTAGTAAGTAGATGGTAAAAGGTTTCTTTTTAATACCAGATAGCCAATCACCAGATCAAGTAATACCTCACAACGGATTGGTTTGGAAAACTCCTGACTCCATGGAAATGAAGTGTTCAAGGAATTGCGACAAATAAGTAGAAAATGAAGAGTCATGGGTGAGAAATGACCCAGTCATTGATTGACTCTCTGGAAAACAAAGAGGCCCAAGGGAAATGGCCGTTGTAAGCGCCTTCAGCACATGGCTATGAATGACATGCAACTGTTGGCTATATGTACTGGTATCGGGTGTGGCTCCGACCAGAGCTGCCCTAGCACTATAACAGTCTACGGTCTCTGTACAAAGCTTGCTGTAGACTGACTCGTGCATTCACTCAACCAGCCTTGCTAGTACATATCTGACAAAAACACCTCAGTGCATGCCTGACAATGCAGTTTGAATAGAACAAAGATGAACACAAATGTAGAGCACCTGGTATCTAATTAACATAACGCCCCCCCCCTCTCTCTCTCTCTATCTCTTTCTCTATTTCTACTCAAGCCAGCTGCAGAATGACAAGTGTATTAACTAAACCAGCCTTGCTAGTACATTCAGAAAAAGAAATACCTTGGTGCATGCCTAACAATTTGAAAAGAGGACAAATTTAGGGCATGTGGTATCTAATTAGCATAACAAAGTTGCCCTGGCATACATGTAGGCTTTAAAATCAGACCCTAAGTTGAGCAAGATTGTGAGAGCCTAATTTCAGGCCAGGTTTAAATCCTGCCTACAGGATGCGGCAAAACAGCAGCTTTTTTTATGGTGACGTAAACTGTTATAGTCGTCACATTTCTGTATCTTATAACACAGAGCTCAGTCAACACATCTCCTGATTAATTGGGCACCAAATGTCATGTACCAATCACTATAATTCTGCAACAAAATGAAAACACACAAAATTTCTCTATTTGAAATCAATTCCTCATTTTCATGAACAGATTCATAGTTACAGCAATTTATGGTCATAGGTCAGACTCATCTGAATTATAGTTGCCACCACAACCATGGCCCTGTAACACAAAGCTTAGCAATTGATTGTACGACTAATTGGTCAACGGATTGCACGACTCGTCGGTCACCGGATTGCACGACCCGTCGGTCACCGGATTGCACGACCCGTCGGTCACCCAATTGCACGACCCGTCGGTCAATCGATGGCACATCTCATCGGTCAATAAATCGATTGTACGACTCATCGGTCAATCGATTGTACGACTCATCGGTCAATCAATCGATTGTACGCCTCATCGGTCAATCGATTGTACGACTCATCGGTCAATCAATCAGACCATATACAATCAATTTATTGTACATCATGGTCAATTACAAAGTAGCAGTCTATCAGGAAGTCATCTTTGTGTTACGGGGTCCTGAAATCCACAATTCTCTTCACTCACCTGCCCCGCATCCACCACATATATGAGCCTTTCACCCTTATCCTCATGCACTCTTTGGTAGAGGGTAGCCATGTCCGACGTGTCGTAGGTGTAGCCTCCATCAGACTTGACAATAGTCAGAGGCACTGCGCTGTCAGGGGTGAACATGATCTTTCTGCCGTCGTCAAACTCCAAGTGTCCTACAGGAAAAAAAGAAAGGTATCAATTAATTGGAGGGCTACGTTTAAGGGTAACTTTGATTTCTGGTAATGACCGAATAATGAATAATGAATGAATAATCCTAAATTACACTGATTGTTTAATACATTAAAACAACATATACAATCTTTGTAGATGACTATCACCATATATATAAAGTGTGATTTAATGGGCTTGAACTATCTCATGGGTGTACAAGCCCAATTTTTTCTGAGTGCGGATAGTGTACCTGTCATTACTTCCCTGAATATTAATATTTCTGTTTTTGATAATCTATTATGACATAGTAACTTTTTCTTGAAATAAGGGCTAGCTTGCTGCCTAATATTGGTATTTTCCAAATTCATAGGAGGGAGGCTGACGGCCCATAGCCCTCTCTTCATAGACCTCTGATACTGCAACACTTTTACAAGCAAAATACAGTTAAAAACCTGTCTAAAGCGGGCACCAAAGGGAAAGTGGCCACTATAGACAGTTTTTTTTGTTTATACACCCAAGTACATTCAAGTTCATGTGTATCAACTATGCAATAAAATGTCACATTTTGGCGATCTTACCGGCAGTCCCGCTCCTAAAATGTGAAAATTGCAACATGGTTTAAAAAAAGTGAGCTTTATTTCAAGAACTTTTTCAGATCGTGATTTTTCATGAGTCGCAAGCTGTCACCATGGCACCCACCCGCATACAGTCAAATAATGAAGCGAAATAGCATTTTTTTTTTCTTCTTCAAGATAATCTGCCTCCTTCAATACTGAAGATTCTTGCAGATGCATTATATACACGGCCTGGTTGGGGTGTGCAGGTGAACCTCTACACCAGGGTTTCCCCCTACTTTTATACAATCAGTGCAGTGGGTTCTTAACATGCAAGGGTGGTGCCTCTCCTGTACGCGGGGCCTCCATTGAACATCCTATCCAAGGGAAGGATCTTACCTCCTGCCTCCAGCTTCTGCACCACCACATTCATCCTCTCTTGATAGAAGGACTCTCCTCTTGGGATTAGATTCTTCACATCAAGACGGGCGTAGATCTTGTTGAATTCTGAAAGAAAAAGCATGAAAAATCACTTTAAAGGCATCGTTTAACAATGTTAAATCTGAAATGCACGGCCCTACGTGTTATCAGTGTCTGTGATATGGTGTAATATTGAAGCTCTAAAAAAACTGCGCTTCAAAATAACCAAGAATGCCTCAAAAAAGTCTGACCTAATGGTTTATAATTATGATTGCAGCACAAGCTAAATTCAGGATTTGTTTCAGAATCTGAGACAAAGTTACCCAATCACTTTAAGCAATTACCATCCACTAGAAACTTCTCATAGACCTAAACCCTGGATCCAAAGACAATTACTCCATTGAGATGTTAACTACCCCAACAATGTTCAAACTTTAGGTGGAAAAGAAGTGGGGGGGGGGGCGGGAGGAGGGATATTATATGATGATTTCGACTGAACATATGGCATCCCCCCTGAAATATAACTAACGGTATCCTATCTTTATTAACAAAATAATCTGACTGCACAAATCAGTAATTAATGTGCTTTTTATGTGATTCCTTTTTTGTTTTTATTTCACAAGTCATCAATAGTCAAGTGCGCATTGAGCAATTGATTTCAAGGGGATTTGGAACCTTACAAATCTCTTATATTGTTATCATTATCAACTTTGTCTATGTTGAGGGTTCAGTGACACAAAGACGTAACTCCATATTTTGCCAAAATGAGTATTTGATATCAAAATGTTCAGAAAAATGTGGGCTTTTCAGGAAACAGAAAAACTTCACTCCACCCAATGGCTTGTGAAACATAGACTTAACTCCTTAAGGTCCAAGTGCTCAGTGACACATACACCACTTTTTTTCAAAATGGCCAAAATAGAGTTACGTCTTTGTGTCACTGACCCCTCGATGTGTATTATCCACAAAAAAGAACACAAAACACACACACAAGAAGGTGGGATTATCATTATGAGAGAGAGTAGTCTGACCAACCTGTCTTTGAGATATCACAGATGAGTTCCCAAGCCTTGATGATACTTGGCTCACCACCCTGGAGTCTGACCACCATCTTGTAAGCTCTCTTCTTGAATTCTTCATCTCCATCAAACCTCACCTTAGATTCCTGAATCAAACAAAACAAAGAAACGAGATCAAGTCTGTGATACATCAAACAAGCATGAATTACTGAAGAGCTTTATGTCAATACACTTTAAAGGTTTAGACCAGTTTTGTCATGCGATTGCATTGTGAAAGAAACGTTGTGGAAACGATCAGAAAATTAGGTTGATCATCTAGCACATAAGTATTGGTGTGTACTGCACGGTTCTGGAATCGTCAAAATGATAAGAAATTTGGCGCAGTCTTGGTAAAGTTACGAGCACTGTACACAGAAAGATGTATGGGGGACTACGAGATATCTATCCAGGCCGGATCGATATGATAATTTACCAAATATATCAATTAGTAGGCAGTTTCCTGGCAAAATTTGTATCATCACGTATTAGTCAAAACATATTCTTTCACATGATTGGTAATAAAAGGTTCCATTTCATTTTTTTTTGAGAGAGAGGGGGGGGGGGGGGGCATTTCCAATACTGGTCTATACCTTTAAGGATACTATTGATAAAGCATTTGATACATATGCAATGTCGCTAATCAGTTAACAGTTACACATTTCGCTTGCTTTTCCCCCAATACATATTGATACTGAAAATTAGGACATATGCACACATAGGCATAGGCACTCAACCATACTCTGTAAAAGTACCATACCTATTCTAGCCATACCCTTCATCACAGATTTGTTTTGAGTAATACTTTAGCCACTCACTATTTCACAGGCATGCTAATCCTAATATAACCACACATACATTTGCATTCATCTAAGTAGCCATTTAACCCCTGGGTTAAGAAAAGCAACATAGATAAAATGCTTTGCTGGAGGACACATTTACCTGAAAACCTGTCTGCACTAGTTTGGCCAGGAGGGATTAGACCTCCCTGCATGGTCACTGACAGGTGGTTATCTCATCAAATCAGCTCTCAATTAACATAAGAAAAAGGGGATCATGTGGGGGGGGGGGGGGAACCAACGGGTACCGCTTAGGCATTGTTTGCTTTATAGAGGGCAAATCCCCCTTTAATACCCGGGATTGAACCTACAATATTTACATCTCTTTGAATCTCTACAATACCATATCGCTATGCTTTTAGCGGGCACACACACACACAATAAATACCTTGTAAAACTTCTGAAGGTCCTGGATGGGAGGAGACTCGTTGAGATAGTTAGGAAACTGATCGGCAAGATGGGTGATGAGCATGCCAAACTGAGTGCCCCAGTCTCCAAGATGGTTTACCTTCAACACATCATGTCCTTAAACATGGAGAGATCGCAGAGGGAAATGATGTAATCAATAGGGAAATGATGCAATCAATAGGTAACTAATGTAATCAATAGGGAAATGATGTAATCAATAGGGAAATGATGTAATCAATAGGTAATTGATGCAATCAATAGGTAACTAATGTAATCAATAGGGAAATGATGTAATCAATAGGTAATTGATGTAATCAATAGGGAAATGATGTAATCAATAGGGAAATGATGTAATCAATAGGGAAATGATGTAATCAATAGGTAACTAATGTAATCAATAGGGAAATGATGTAATAAATGGGGAAATGATGTAATCAATAGGTAATTGATGTAATCAATAGGGAAATGATGTAATCAATAGGGAAATGATGTAATCAATAGGGAAATGATGTAATCAATTTGGAAATGATGTAATCAATATGGAACCATGAAAGAGGTCTTCATTTAAGATGGTTGTATGGCAAATGCAGTCATATTAAAAATGCAATGTTTGCATTGTGTGTGATGGGCTCAAGATTCCTTCAAGACTGACCTACGAACTCCATGAGCCGGGAGATGCTCTCTCCGATGATAGTTGACCTCAGGTGACCTATGTGCATCTCCTTGGCGATGTTGGGAGAGGACATGTCAATGACGACCTTCCTCTTCTTACTGAGGGGTGGAGGAAGCACCCCTTGGGTCAAGATCCCGGTGACGAGGGGGGTGATGAAGGATTTCTTGAGGTGGATGTTGATGAAACCCGGTCCTGCAATATCCACCTGGTGAAGATGATAAAGATGTTATAAATTGATTTAATTAGTCACTAATGAGGGGTGGAGGGAGTGCCATATGTTCAATTTACATAATTCAATTTGTCATTAATAGTGACTAATGGGATTATGTACAAAATAATTCAAACTAAATTTGGACAGAGATTATTTGTAAGTATTTACCTTTTCAATGACATCATTTGAAGGGATGTTTGCTTGGATCTGCTGGGCAACGACTCTTGGAGAGACTGGAGAGCCCTGGGCCTTCAGTTGCTGTAAGAGGGATGTAAACAAAACAAACGCAAATATTACATTTGTAGAGGCTAATATTTTCAACCTCTTCATAACATTTTTGAAATACACCAAAGGAAAATGCATGTTTATACATTGTCATTTGCAATAAAGAATTCTTAGTTATGGATGAATTATTTTGTTTCTAAACATTTTCTATCATAAGTTGCTAAAATGCACATACTCTGATCAAGACAGACAGAGAGTTGACAAATATATTTTTCATAATTCTTGTAACTTAATAATGAAAGGTGGAATAGTGTATAAGGGACTTAAACATCGAACGAATCAATTTTTCATATACCGTAATTAACGGAGTATAAACCGCACCTTTTTGCCGCCGAAAAAAATTCAAAGTCGGGGGTGCGGTTTATACACGGTACACACAAAAAAAAAAAAAAATTATCAAAGTTTCGATTTATGCCCCTCCACCTGGCGCTATGCCTGGCAATGTCTCCCAGCTCAGTAATCGGTGTGTTGACTCACCACTAGGAAACTAGAACAACACTCAAATTTGTCTGTCATCTTGGTTTAAAGGTAATCTTTCTGATAGATCTCAATATGTAGTTTATAATAATAATTCCTACACACGGTGTACCACAAGGTTCTATCCTAGGTCCTTCACTGTTTTTTAATTTACATTAATGATCTTACACATTCAGCTGCACCTCGCAGTTAAATGAAAGGCCTTCCCGCGTGGGTTTTTTTAACACGGACCTGGCTTGCTGCCGACAGAGTCGGCCAAAAACAAAAACATTTTTTTTTTTAAAGGGCGAAAAAGAGGGGAGCGGTTAATACACGAGGGCGGTTTATACAACGTTAATTACAGTACTTAAAGAATAACGAAACTTGGTACGGGTGTGAATAATTTAATTGTTAACTGTATCTTCATGAGGAAGAAGAGAGAGAGAAAGGAGTGGGGGAGAGAGAGAGAGAAAGGAAGAGGAGAGAGAGAAAGGAAGAGGGGAGAGAGAGAGAAAAAAAGAAAGAAAGAAGGACATACATGTATGATGCCTAAACTTGCAAACCTCATCCTCCCTATTCAAAATGCAGCATCATGGCAATCATGAGTCATGACAGTGAACTATTATCCTTTTAATACCTGAGCAATGATCATTGCACTGTTGCACTGGTAGTCTCCAAACTTCTCCACCTGGCTGGGCTGTACTGCGACAGGGGCATTGGTGAGGGCTGGGTACGCAACACGAAGGGCAGTCCTAAAGATCTCAGTTAGCTTGCCGCATACGTTGTTTCCAGCTGCATCGCCACCTTGGGACTCCTCCTCGACAATGCTCTGATAACAATTTAACAGATGATATCCATTAAAAAACTTAATATACTATGAACTTTTATTATTGTTCCCATTTATTTGAAAAGTATTTTTCCCAATGTCATTAGATTTCAAGTCAATCGCTGTTCATACAAGAAAAATGATTTTATTATATTTTACTTTTCTCTTGGGGGGCCCTGCAAGCAAGATTTGACATTACAACTTTCAACCCAAATCATTCAGCAGATAACATAGTTATGGCCTTGAACATTCTGTGTAATTTTTTTAATTACCTATAAAGAACAATTAAATATTTTGTATTCAACTTTGAATCGAACAGTAGTCTAGGTGTAAACAAAAAAGATTCTTGTCTTTGATGAAAATGAATTTAACTATATAAGCCTACCCTCTTTAGATGCGAAATGCGGTACTTGAGCTTCTGATTCTCCGTCTGGAGTTTCTCAAGTTCTGGAGGAACCTGCTCCCAATCCTCAACGCCACCATTCTGAAGCTCTTGAATCTGTTGCTTCAGCTCGGCAATTTGAGACTCCTGTAGAGAAAGCATTGTTTGGATGGAAGTTTGAACAGGAAGCATATGCGGTCAACAATCATACAGCAGGTCAAAGGTTAGACAGAAATAACCATCTGATTTGGGTCATTTCTTTAACAAAACTGACATTTGTTGACATTCCCCAATACAGATGGTAACCCAGAGATCTCGTACCGAGGGGGTAGCTAGAGCCAACAATGTACATCTTTTCGTTCAAAACATTTCCTCCCCGATTTTCTTTATTTAGATCTAATTTTCTGATTTCTAAATCAGATGTAAATTAGGTTGGTATGTCATTTGTCCTAATTGCAGTTATCAAAATTTGATAACTTAATATTAAATGTATAATTTACGGACTTACTTAAATATGAATTATCCAATTTGTATCTCAGAACTGTGAAACAGTACGTTCATGCACTCGAACATAGGGCTATATGACCCGGCGACCAAAATATTTCCGGGTCAACCTACCAAAACATAGCCAAATGGCCAATCAGAGCACTCGTTTCGTGGGAGTTCGTTGGTCAAGCCGGGCTGACTCGTACGTAGCTACGGTAGCTATTGGACGTTCGAAAAGAAAAAATGAATATTCATCAACTAAAACCAAGACGGATAATGTTGACGACGAGACTTTCTCGGATTAATCATTAATTTAGGATGTAAATGAGCAAGCTATCGTAAGTCAAATAAGCTATATATATGTTATTTTTAATTTTTATTATAATTGCAGCAGTTATGAGGATGTAAAGAGTGAAAATCTTGTTGCATATCTCATTCATCGCGGTCCGGTCGAACCGAACCATTTGTTCCGTACAGTCCCGTACAGTCCCGATAGGCCATACTTCAGTCTCTATAATCGGAGGTCTAGTGGAGCCAGACGTAGTCTCAGTGGAACAACCGACGACTAGAGAGACTGAAGTTTTCGGTCTAGTCAAAGGTCACATGTCAAGCCGTGCTGCCCTGCCCAACTAGTACTTAGTACTATAGATAGAACATTGAATTATAAAGTGCACGACTAATCATAATCATTCATATTCCCTATTCACTCTGGACTTTCTCTAGGCGCGCCTGTGTGAAGTTATCCTCATTACGGTAGATAACTTCACACAAGCGCGCGCCCTTCCGCATCCCGCCATCGGTATGCACTTGTATTGTGCAGCAGTTATCTGTTAAACCTGTGAAAAAGTGTATATTAATATCAATGTTTTTCCAAAAAACATACTCCAAAAATAACAAGAAAATTGACACAAAACAGGTAATAAACATACATAGATCTAGATCTAGGTCTAACGACTTTTAAGTCATGATCTTTATTTGGACATTTAGACTACTTAATATTTACTTTTATGTTTTGGTAGGGTTGGTATCTAGATCTATACGCCAAATTTTGGATAGGCTCCTGAACAAGCACCCAATTTTTTTAATTTTTTTTAAAGAAGTGTTTAAAAGTTAGATCTAGACCTAGAGTCTACTTAGATCTAGGCCTAGACTAAGTTAGATCTGACTCTTCTAATCTTATTCTTAGTCTTACTTGTTGAGAGGCTCGAGATGTCAACTTTTCAACCAGGCTGTCCATTCTTAATCTGTTCTTCTTAATCTTCCAGGCTGTTCTTCTTAATCTTCAAAATAAGTAGCAGTGCAGTGTTACGGATTTACGGTGAAATACCCAGTGAATGTGTTGCAACAGCGCGCCTCAGCCCCATAAGCTCAAATATGTGTTGGTTCTGCCGCGCCTACCTACCTACATGTGCGCTCAAACCGGCAACAAATGATTACACTGGTTATTTATTTTTTGGAATGACTTTAGCTTAAGTGATGCATATCATGAACAGAAATTTAAAAATATAGGCAGCTTTGTTTATTTTAAGAATCAAATATTTTTGTACAATTTTCAAAACAATTATCGTAACCAAAATAATCTGAGATTACTAGTTGTGAAAGAGACTAACATGGCAGCTTCCTATGGACTCGATTATGTACAGGATCAGGACTGAGGTCAGAACTTTATTTCCCACATTCTTCATTCTTTAAATTCATCATAATTTATGTGTTTCGTATTCTATGTTGGTATAATGTGTATTATATTAAAGGCATCGTTTAACAATGTTAAATCTGACTTTGAATTGAACTTTGATTGAAACCCTAAAAAATGCGCTTCTTCAAAAATATTATGATGATCATGATGATGAAATGATGAATTGAGCTGAACTGAATTGAGAGCCTCAAAGTAATAAGTAAAAATCTTTGAGTGACCTGTGTTACCATACTCATTTTCCCCAGTAAACCGTAGCGTTATCAAAACCATTTGGAAAACGGATTGATTTTGATTTCCAATCATAAATAGGGTCTATCTTGATAGCAGGCAATTGGCTTGTATAACACTTAACAGGGCTGTCATTTTGGGGAACTGCTTCGAGGGAGATCATAGATCTATAGTATAGGTCTATGCAAATTTTGTTGATGTGCCCAACAGGTGGGGGGGGGGGGGGGGAGGTGGGCCTGGTGGGGGGCTTGCTTTAGTTTTTTAGTTTAGATCTAGACTAATAACATATTATTTTTTTACCATTTTTTTGTTGGTTGGGGGGTTTAGTGGCTCGATCGAGCCCCCAAACGTCATCGGTTGACAGTTTTTGAATGAGAGCGACTTTTTTTCTTCTTCTTTGTATTTGACGAATATTAGATTTAAATATGATGCAAGTTTGTGTTCATTAAGCAATATTTTTATAAATCATGATCTCAGAATTAGACATTGGTTTGTAAATACAACAGAACTTCACAAGCAGAGAGGGGTGCGGCGCTGGTCCGGGAAAAGGATCGTCCGCATTTTTGCAGACGTTTCATATTTTCGATACGCGCGATCCTTATTTTTTAGAACGCAATTTGTCCGCATTTACGAGGATATCCTCGTTTATGCGGACGATCCTCATTCTCGGACCAGCACCCCTACTGACAAGTAAAGATAGGCCAATTGATATTGAGTACCAGAGTTTGTTGATTGTTAACGTCAATTGAAGGCAAAATAATGGCATGGAATTAAAGACAAATCATCTTCCAATCTATTTAACAGACATTTTCGACAAACTTTCTACTGAAACAAAGATTTCTGAAGTGCCTGTGGAATATTGTGAGACTACCTTGGCCCAGATTGTGGACATTCACAGATCACCATGGCAACCGTTGGTTGTCAGCTCTGTAGCAACTCAACGGAGGCCATCGAGTTATACGAGAACAAGTTCCTGTATCTTAAGCCGATAGCCAAGATCAATATTTCTGTGACTTTACCTCAGATGAAGACTCCAGGTTAGTCAGGCATTTTCTTTTCTCTCTTTCCCCTCTCTCTCTCTCTCTCTCTCTCTTTCTCTTCCCCTATCTCTCCCTGTTACACCACAAATGTAATAACACCCACAAATGTAATAACACTGTACCCACAATTGTAATAATTTCACCCACAAATGTAATAATTTCACCCACAAATGTAATAACCACTTTACCCACAAATGTAATAATTTTGAATCACCCACAAATGTAATAATGACTTTACCCACAAATGTAATAAATTTGAAGGGATATTTTGTCGAATTTGTTCCAAACTAAAACCCTGTAATAAAGCATGGGTATAGCGCCCAGTCTTTACTCCAGACCCGGTAATTTCAAAAATTTTAAAAATCTACAAAACTCAGACCCCATAATCCTTTTCCTGTGGAATAACATGAGAATCGAGCGTAGTCTTTCCTCCAGACCCGGTTATTCAAAAGTTTAAAAAAAAAAAAAAACTTTTAAACTAAGACCCACCATCTTCCAAACTAAGACCCGGTAATAAAGCATGGGTTTAGAGCGAACTTTTTAAAAATCTTCAAAACTAAGACCCCATCATCTTATTCCTGTGGAAGAACGTGTGTGTGTGTGTGTATTGGGTTTTTACAGACGTGTATCAATCAGATATGATTATTTACGTCTGGGACCGACCTTTAAACGTCACCATCCGAAAGACGTGACTCAGTTTCGAACCTGCGTCCTCGGCTGAATCAGTTTGTAACTTCCACTTTTATGCTGGATTACAGGCGCACGCCACAACGCCTAGTTGAACATGAGTATTGAGCGTAGTCTTTCCTCCAGACCCGGTTATTCAAAAGTTTAAAAAAACAAAAAAACAAAACAAAACAAAACAACAAAAAAACCTTTTAAACTAAGACCCCTCCATCTTCCAAATTAAGACCCGGTAATAAAGCATGGGATTAGAGCTCAGTCTTTACTTCAGACTCGGTTATTTAAAAAAAAAAAATCTTCAAACTAAGGCCTCACCATCTCATTACTGTGGAATAACATGGGTATTCCTCCAGACCCGGTTATTTCAAAAGAAAAAGAAATTTAAACTTTATTACATTTGTGGGTAAAGTCATTATTACATTTGTGGGTGATTCAAAATTATTACATTTGTGGGTAAAGTGTTATTACATTTGTGGGTGTTATTACATTTGTGGATAAAGTGGTTATTACATTTGTGGGTGAAATTATTACATTTGTGGGTAAAGTGTTATTATATTTGTGGGCGTTATTACATTTGTGGGTGTAACACTCCCCCTCTCCCCTTCTATCTCTCTCTTTTTGACTAGACACCACTCCTCAATTATATAGACCCTCTGGTAAAACAATGGGCCATAGGTCCCCTTGGTACTTGGATCAATACAATTTCAGCATTCAATACATTGTATTGTATTGTTTTTTTTAGAATTTATATTTCTTTATTACTGTTATTGATATTCCCTACAACGTTGAAAGACTTCATACAAGGGGTTCCCTTTCATAGCTCAACTATATATATACTTCTAGAGGTATGTATCTGCTAGGACCTAGTGATTCATCCTATTTCAATGATAGTACTAGAACTCGTTGACGTCAGGACTGGAGAGGATTAGGGATGTATGGTAACTGATGGTCATTTCTTAGGAAAACAGCCTTGCCTAAAAAGGAGTTTGCACAAGAGGTAAACAATATCCTCTTAGGTTATTGAACCTTCTGGGGATGCAGGGTTAAATACTATGTAAATGGAATAATGGATGGAACTAGTTATATTGTACCTCTCACCTTAGCATTACTGGTACTTTGTTCTCATTGTGTAATCGTATTGATAGTTTCATTACTGTTGACTTTGCAGGGAAATCAATCAGCAATTGGGAAGTGATGGAGAAGCTGAAGAAGATGGCTAAACCTGACTCTTTTCTTGTCCTGCGAGTCACCAAAAGCTCCTTGGATTTCCTGCGCTTTGAGGCTGAACTCGAGGCCCGCTCCATCATCAAAGTCATGATCACGAGACTCGATACCAAGAATATCAAGCTAAGCGGGTTCACGGAGGTCTTGAAAGTGCGAGCCGCCGAGGCAAAGCTTCCTTTCCCGAATCGCCACGATTGGGATGTCTTCTTTCGTGATACAAAGCACATGAACGAGAACAATCCAGGAGAAAGACCGGATACCATTCACGTGGAGAATCTTCCAGTGCGATGGTTTGCCATTGATGTCGAACCGGACAAACCTAGTGAGATCGTGGTGCGGAATGTGTTCGGTACGATTGGCGTCATCAGGAACATTGACATTCCTATGTTGGATCCATACCGACATGAGAGCCAGGTGACGGGAGGGAACTTTGGCAAGATCTCCAGTCTGGGGAGCAATCTTACGTTTGATGTCTATGTGCAATTTATGGAATACATTGGCTTTGTAAAAGCCATGGACACTTTGAAAGGCATGAAGATCATGAGAAATGGGCATGATGGCAATGCCTATACAGCTGAAATCAAGGTAGGCTACTTTGCTGACAACTTTTGTAGGTTTTGGTGCAGAACGTTGATAAAGAACAATTAACAACTTATTTCATTTATTCCATACTACACTTTTCAAAGCTATCGAAACAAACTAAGAGATACTTACTGGCAAGCACACTCACTGAAAAAAACACATGTATTATAAAGGACCATAGTTTTTGTGATCAGCCAGCTCATTAGACATCTAGCTCAATTTGTTTATCTCTGCTCAATTTGCAACTATTCATTTTCTACCAAATCTTTTTTAGCAGATCATTTGTTTGTAGTCTGAGCTCTCAATGTTCTAGGAGAAGCACATTTGTCATCGGTACTAAAAACAAAAATGTTAAGCCTGCATTTAAATCAATGTTTATGTAATGCTGATCCAAATTGTTCATTGTTTCAGGTTGACTTTGACAAGACGAGACATCTTAGTGCAAAAGTAATAAAGAAGAGAGAGAAGGAGCAGACAAAGTGGATAGAACTGATAAGAAAGAGGGAAGAGCAGAAAAGGTTGGAGAAAGAAGAGGAAGAGAAAAAGAAGGAGGAAGAAAGGTAGGATGATCACCTCTTTCCTAAAAAGACATGGGGTAAATTGGCTAATGGGGACAAAAACTGATAAATGATAATTCATTTATCATCAACAATCCACATGCAGTATGTTCCAAGGCAATTTCTGTGAGCATTTGATCAAATTAGTGTTGATGTTATATTTTTTTTCATTTCTATTTTGTTTATTTCATTGGTCTTGTAGGACACACAAATCATGTCAAATTCTCAGTGCTTAGTGCAGTAGGAGAAATCTCAAATACACCCCATCACATACGTGATATATTTTGTTGTAACTTATCTTGTAAATTTAGAAAGAAGAAGGAAGAAGCAATAAAACTGAAGCAACTACAAAAG